GCTGCTGCCCGGCGAGCTGGCCAAGCACGCCGTCTCGGAGGGCACCAAGGCCGTCACCAAGTACACCAGCTCCAAGTAGACGCGCTTGCCCCGCTTCCTCAACCGACCCAAAGGCTCTTTTAAGAGCCACCAAGTTTCTCAAAAAAAGAGCTGCGGCTGCCTGATTCAAACGCCTCTTTGTAGAGGTTAATTGACACACTTAACTGCATTTCTAAGACTTGACTGAGGGGATTTATTTTCATGACCTTTACAGAATTAGTTTCCTAGTATGATACCACCTAAGTGGCCTTAGATACCACCTTAAAACTTATTTAAAACTTGTTCAAGAGCTCCAAGGAAAATATTTCCTGAGAGAAATTACTGCAAGGTATGGAATTGAAACTTCCTCTAACTCTTGGTGTGCTTGGCACAGGCTATGTTTGTTTAGGAGAGGCCAAGCTTCCTCAGTAAAAATATATATATGTGCGTGTGTGCACATAAATGAATTTACTGACAAACGTGTATGTGTAAGGCTCCCTGATTATTTGCTTTGGTGAGATTGGGTAAGGAGCCGTGGTTACCTTATGTCCTACGCTGTAATAAGATTTCATTTGGATTTGTTGCAATGCCAGCAAATCTTGCCCAGCCAAATCTATCCATGCTTTACAAGTTTTACATATTAACTCTTTACACTTCAGCATTTTCCTCCAAATTCTGAACGCAATGAGAGTAGATAGGTTTTCATGAAGCGAAGCAGCAGCATCATAAATGGACTGGTTAGTTCACGTGGTTAGCATGTGGCACTAATAACGCTGCCAACTGGAACTTCATTGCAAGGCCAAACCATCTTTCCTGGCACCCTTCCTAAGGTGTGAATCCAAGAATGGAGAAAGCTCAGCCTCAGGGTTGGGAGTTCTTTTAAATCTCCAGTGGGAAGTTTCGAAAGCAGGAGGCTACTTGGGGACCCCCTCTGAAGGATATATTTATTTATTTTACAGCCAAAAGGCCTGAAAACAAGGTACAAATATAATCTAAACTTGACACTGA